CCCCCGACCACCCCAGAGCTCTTCCCTTGGGATCCCCAAGCGCCGGGGTCTCCTTTTCCAGACCTAAGGACTCAGCTAGATCTGGGAAAGGACAGGGCAAGGGATGCTCCCGCAGGAAGGGGCTCTCCGGGCAGAGCCAGGTCCCCTAACTACCAGCCCCGCCCTAGACTGCTGCTGCTGAAGTCACCACATCCATTTCAGACTCGGGATGTGCTAGGAGCTTGCTGGCTGTGCCCTGAGTCCTTTGCACGTATAGGTGAAAGTTTGCTTGTTTTTTTTTCCTTTTCCCTCTGATGAATCTGAGCATTTCCCAGTGACCCCTATTCTCTCAGGCTGGTTTTCCCCAACTGGTGTGTTTTTAAGTAGAGGAGAAAGAGAGTCACAGAGCAGTAGGGCTGGAAAGGCCTTCTTCCAGAGGTCACGTCCAACCCCCTGGGATCAGCCCAAGCCAAACCATCCCATACAACGCATTAGCTCTTCATAAAACTACCCTCAAGCCTGATGCAACACAAGAGCTAATGCCCTCACCTCCCACAGGTAAAGCAGGGGGACCAGGGCAGCCCATGTCATAGAGAAACGCGGCTGGAAGGGACCCCCAGAGGTCATCTGGGACACCCCCCTGCCTGAGGCAGGGTCAGCCCAAGGCCACCCATCTCATACAGTCCATAATCTGTAAACTCTACATAAGACTATCCTCCTCAACCTGACACAACACAGACCTAAACAGAAAACATCCTCTCTTTAAGTAGAGGTTCTGCCTGTTCTGCCTGTTACTGTGGTTACCAAATCCTGCTCAGCTGGCAACTTTTCTTCCCACATAAGCAAAGCGATAGTTTCCATGGTCACAGCCGCATATAGCACTGTGCTTGTTCCCGCAGTGTTACAAAGACGTGTCTCAAGACAGGCTGAAAATGCTGGCTGCGATTCACAGGATGGACCTTCACAGCCTTTGTCCAACTTCTACCCACAGGAGGAATTAATGTAAGGAAAGCAAAAAAAGCCTCCGGGCTCCCAGGACATTTCGAAGACTCTCAAATCAGCTGCAGTCCGCAGAGCATGAAGCAGGAAAGGCAGAGAACGGAACTGGGGAAGGTCAGCCTAGGTAGCGAGCTGGGCTGTGACAATGAATCAACCCCGGGAACATGACACACAGAGTTTGCGCTGTGTTTAAGTGCCAAGGATGTGGTCATTCCTGCCTTATGCACTGTCATCCATAGCCACGGTTGGATATTATGGTCAGAGAAGCACAATTTGGGCAAAAAGTTCCAGTCCAATGAAGTGCCTAGAGGAGGGGGGAGGGGGGAGAAGATCTGGTACCATTTAACCTTAAAGGTAAAAGGCTGCAATTGAGAGGGGAAAGGTGGGAAAATCCCTGCCCCTACCCAGTTCACTCTCCCTTTCAGCATCCACTCTCTGTTTCTGTGTGACCCAAGAGACTGGGCAAGATGGACCTACGGTCTGACCCAGCAAGTGGCAATTCTTATGTTCTTATTACCACCCCTTGCTTCACAAAAAGAGAAGCAAAATCAATCGGCTGAAATAGGTTTCTCCGCATCTCAACTGCCTATTACAGCTCCCTCATGCCTAGAGTGTCTGAGGCTGCTATTGTTCAGCACCCTCTTATAGAGAGAAGCCTCATTCTTGCAAAGAAAGTAAAGAGAGAGAGCAAAATAATAATAATAATAATAATAAGTTTGGAACCACCTTGATTTCTGTAGCTTGTGAATTACTCCGACTTTTACTCACAGCTAAAAATAAAACCAAGTACACCTAAGAATTTCTCTCAGCCCCTCCCCTATCCTGCGCCCAACGTACGGTGCCTGCTTCCTGTATTCAGAGCCCTGATGAAGAATGTCTTACACTGGAAAGCTTGCCTAACTTTCTCCCAACTACACAGCTGGTCCAATAAAAGACATCACCCGAGAAAATCCTTGCCACTAACAAATCTGTCACCCTGCACACTACCTGGATTTCCTCGGGATGTTTCACTGCAGCAAAGAGCAGAGATTTCTCAGGAGAGTAACCTGGATCCCTCTGTCCCAAACTCCAGCCCCGGCTGGCACCTCTCCCGTGGCAAGAGCTCTTGCAGTCCTACAATGGAAACGCGTTTCAGTCCCAGTCCGACTCCTGCAGCTGCACAAACTCGGCAACAGAAGCAGATCTCCAGAGGCAGGAGTCACGTGGCTCAAAGAGGTGGCAGGACGTTAAGTCCCTGCAGGTTTTCCGGTTGGAAACAGCTGCCAAGGAGGGGGATGCACCAGCAACAAAAGAGAGACATGCACTGGTTCCACCTGCCACGCGGAGCTGGGATCAACCAGGGATCCAGGCAAGGATCTCTGCTGAACTGAGTGGATCCCTCGGCAGAGCTCATCCCTCTCTCCCCCTGGCAGGTTTCAATCTGCTGCCCATTGCAAGGGTGCTTGACAGCTGCGGCTTTCAGCAAGCAGAGGGATGGGAGCATTTCAGCAGGGTTACCCTACACTGATTGGATCTGACTCCTGTTCAGGGCTCCCTCTCTTTTTCTCTCTCTCTCTTTTTTTAAACAACAAAGGCTTTAAGACAAAGCATCTGCGTTACTCACCAAATCTGTCTGCTGCTGGGCTGGTCAAATTCATGCACACACGAGGTACCAAGCAGTGCCAGAGCCTCTCAGGGAAATGCAGCAATATTCATGAGCTGACCTCACTGGGCCTGGGAGAAGGAGGTGGGGGAGGGAGACAAGCAGCCAAGGGAAGAGAATAGAAGAAATTAAACGACCCCCCCTGAAACAAGAAAGAAAGAAAGAAACCACGCCCAGGCCTTGAGGATGAATTCTAGTTCCTGTTCTCTGCACGTGGTAGAATTGGATTAAGGCACAAATGAAAGGAAGGCATTAGGTAGCCAGAGAGGTGGACAAAATTCATTGCATGGAAACAATCGATTCTGATCAATTATTTATTCTGGTCTTTCAGGGAGCCTGCTTGAAAAAGACAGCAATACCAGATGCCTTCTGCCACAGCAGCATGACAATAGCTGGATTTTCCTTTGTTCGGATGTATCCTTTATCTGCACTGGAAGTGCAGCAAATCCCTATTGCTCCTAACTGACAAAGTCCCAGTACCCTGAATTAAGGTAGAGGCGATGCCAAATGGTGAAGGGGAATTTCTGTGAAGGGGAATTTCTCTTTTTCTTTCTTCCTTCCTGTGATATTTTCCTGACAATGTCCTGACTTACTGGGTTAAAAATAGAGATGATGCCATTCT